TTTTTTTTTTTAGCTCATTCTGCTTCTATTTTTTTTTGTTGATTCTGTTGATGCTTCTGTTTTGCAGTCCTGTGTTGCTTTTGTTTTTTTTTATCCTCATTCTGCTTCTTCTTTTTTTGTTGCTAATTCTGCTGTTGTCCTGATTTTGCTTCTTTTATTGTCCTACCCTGTCAATATGAAGATGTATACAATTGTTAGTATTTGTTTGAATTTAAATGTTTAAGTTATAACTGTTATTAAGATTTGAGATATTATTAGTGTTTGTTTTAATTTAAATGTTTATGGTTTTACTTGCATTTAAATATTTAGTATATATAAAATTAGAACTTAGATTGTTTAAAAGTAATTAAACTAAAATATATATATTTTTTAACTGTTCGCTTTGCTTCGATAAAGCGTGTCGATTCGCTTCTCGCTTCTCGCCTAGGCATTAGGATCCTTGGTCGCTTCGGTTCGCTTTACGCCTTAAATAACACTGGGGGTGACAACATTGTTGTGGGTTGAAATGTGAGAGCAACCACTCCCTGTAAATAATTCCTAAACAGTCCACCCTCCTAGAACTCTTGATCAAATGGTTTCTAAGTTTTTTTTTTCTTTCCGATTAATAACACCATATTCTATACCAAAAATCACCACGTTAAAAAAAAAAAACACATGAAAAGGAAAAACAGCACAAAACCTTTAGCCCCAGGCCATGAGGAAGAGGACCCAAAAGATATACCTTACCTTCAACCAATGCTGAACAAACACCAAAGAATAGAAAGATAAATATAGAACTTTATTCTCTTATACTAACCTTCCCACATGTCTGAAGAAATGCAGGCCACAAGAAACTCGAGGGAAAGAAAATTTAAAGAAAAGAGGAAGTTGGGGATTTGGCTTGTTTTCAAAATAGAGCACACATGGTAACCTTCCAGAGTGCATTTTATGTTTATATTTCTCATGCCGCTTTTTATTATGCTGTCATACCTTTTAAGAATAAGTACTTTGGTAAATTTCTATACTGATGAAAATTGGGCATAGTAGTAACCCATGGACCATACATATTCTGTTAGTAGGTGAGTAAACTGTGCCTGTTGTGGTTATGCCATCTGAATTAAAGTGAATGGGGATCAGAAAGGCATTGGATAAGCTTGCGTATGAAGATTGCAATTTAAATAAGTTGTTTTTATCTATTGTTTTGTTAATTAAGGATTTATTTGTTTGAGGAATAATATCTTTAATAGTAAGAGTTGTATTAAGACTCTCTATTTTTGGATTGAGGATTAGTAAATAAAGGGGTTGATGCAAGACTCGGATATGAATTATCGGGATAGAGTATTACTTCTTCTCCTAGTTTCTCATCATCATCATCTTCTTTTAATTCTCCCTCTTTCTTCAAATTCTTGTTCTTCTTAATCTCATTTTCTCTCTCAATTCCTCCTTCTCAATTTACATCAATTCGGTGTAAGAGTTAATCAATCTATATCAGTTGGTATTACAGCCTGACCCCGATCCATCATTGCTTCCTCACTAATGCCCAAATTCACATCACAATCATTGCTCACAATCTACAAACATCAAAGTGATCCTTTACATTAACAGGAAAAAAAATAATCATGCAATTCGCCATTAGGACCATTGATGTTTGTGTGGTCTAACAATCTTCAACTTCCCCAACAGCGACCATCATCATTAAACAGCCCTAGCCAGTTGTTGTCCATTGCTAAACATCATCGTCATCATGGCTAAATTAGGCCATCCATCGGTGTAATAAACCGATCTACTGTTTTCAAAACAGCCTCTTTAAGACTTACAATAAACTATATAACCTTATAGCAGCCTCTCACATCCAATATCAGAAGAAAGAACAGCAGAGGAAACCATCCAGAAAGAAGCTGCAAGATCATACAAGTGAAAAAGTATGATACCTTGTCATCCTCAGGTTTCCCAACAATATTAAGGTCCGCAGAATACATCTCTGCCGCAAAGCAATGTGGGGTATCCAAATGTACAGACAAGCTTCCGAGCCTTGTATCCACAGTGAACCATGCAGGAATGCTCACCTGAAGAAGAAAAGTCAAATCAAAAGGAAAGTTGACCTAAATATTGGACTAGTTGAAATGCACTATTGTATGAGCTAGCACTCCCTACCATCTCAAACAGTTCTTCCTTCTTCTTCTCAAATGAAACCTAAAACAATAGATTAGCAAAAATTAATGAAGGAACCCAATAAGCCATGGGTAACTATGGAATGAGCCCTTGAAGAAAATGTTAATCAGGGCTCAAAGCCACTATTTCACCCTTCCTCCATTCAGGCATCTGGACATTGTAGATATTATAAACTACTCATCAATCATGAAAAATGAAGTCAAAAGAAAAAAAACACATGGTAACCTTGCCATAGTCCTCAAGCACAACACCCCTTGTGACCTCCCACAGCTTCACTGAACCAGCAGTATCCTAACAAGACCCAATTCATAAGTCAGTTAAACATAAGTACATCTACTAGGACAAAAACTGGACTCAAAAACACAATAAGCAATTAAAAGGTTAATATTGGCAAGTATAACGTAAGGCAAACCACCATATTACCTTAGTCAAGACATGCCTTCTATTGTTCAAAACTTCATGCTGCACTATCCCTGGAGTTCCTGGAGTGCCAAAGGACGGTTCTCTATAAACCGGAACCTACAAAATTCTCAAATGGTCGGTAACCAGTTAAATGAAATTAAATACCCCATATTCAAAAGGGGAAAGAGCCACAAGTAGGGGAAGAAAAAGAAAGACCAATTGTCAGAAGACACCACATAAACTGAATACAGAATAAGAAGAGTTTTTATATTACTAACAAAAGTTAAATTTGGTAGCCAGACCAAAGATCTTCAAGGAATAGAAATAAAAATAAATTCATCAACGATTTCAAGATTACCGAAGCATAATTTATTTCCCCACTCTGACAAATTCTCCAATAGTTGGTCAATTTTTTTTTTTGATAGAAACGAAACAAACATCGAAGGGAAAAAATTAGCAAGTACTAAGTTGATATGGCAATGAATAAGCATAGTTCCAGTCTATTTCGGAAGTTCGGGACCCCACATCAGCAGTTCGAATTCCCTTGAGGTATGGAACAGAACTCATTACAAACTTAGACATCACCTAATATGTGGCGTACCCAGGAGGAGAAAGAAGCAAGGAAGAACAAAATAAAGGCAGCACCAAATGTGTGATAATTGATAAATAAGAAAACATTGGGAAAACTCGTCTGGTAAAAGTGTAGGGTGGCACATACCACCATTTTTATAGGAGACAACAATTGGTTAGGTTTTTTCTTCCTCCTGTTAATTTTTTCAAATTCAACAGGAAACTGCCATGCGCAGCAACAGTGTCAAGTCAGTTTGGCAAGAGAGGCAGTTTGGCAAGAGAGGCCAAAACTTTATAAGACATGAATCTACATTATTTCTTCCAGTTTAGACAAAATACAATTACACTTTTGGCATGGAAAGCATATATGCTGATAATTATCATATAGATATACACACTCCACCAAATTATACACCAACTCAGATGATGAATAAAACATATAACAGATGTTTGAATACTTCAATATCAGATATGATGAAATGATTGATATCCATGGGGAATAAAATCTGGTTCAGAGAGATGAAGAGGAGTGTTGCTTCTTGTCATGGGCGGAGCTACCTTAAGGCCAGGGGGGGCCTGCCCCACCCTCAATTTTTCCAAAAAATTATATAAGTATATATGTCAATGTACATGTCCTTATATATGAAATATTTTTAACACACATTTTATTGTGCTCATTCTATGATTTTCATACATAAATAAATACGAATACATTATGGACACAGTTCAGATAATTTTTGAACACATATAAGTTCATTTTGTGATTTTTCTTTAAAAAAAACTGATATCCTTTTATAGTTGTAAAAATATGATTATTGTGTAGTAAAATATATAATCATTTTGTAAGTACATAAAAAACTATGATCACAAAATAAAATGACAAAACATTTGGACTTTAAAAACCTTTATATAAGGTCTAATGAGTAGACAACAATATTATTCATATTTTTTCAATAAATCCACAGCCCTTGTACCCATAATTGTTATTACTTATTTTACTTGTTTGCTTGCTTAAATAGTGTTTTTTGATTGTGAGTGTTTCAATTAGACTGCGATTGAATGTCTGGTGTGCTTTTTATAGTAATCGAGCTTTTCGTGATTATTTAGACATTTACATATAAAATAACTTGCAAGTGACTTATTACTAGACTCTATTTTTCTACAATTGACCTCTATGTAAATAAATATAAATATCTTGTTTAATTTTTTATTAGTTGAAAAGAATTTAATTAAAAATTGTAATTAATGTGCCCACCACCCAAAACTCAATTCCTGGCTGCCCTTGCTTCTTGTTGGAATCTTTAATGGCAAGTTGCAAAATCCGTAGTTCTTTTTTCTTCCTTGGATGCAATATTTATGCGTTGCATCATCAGCTGAGCTATGATTTATGTGGGATACTTAGCAATATTCTAATATATTGTGGTGATTCCTATAGAAAACATGCTTATACTTATACATACGTATGTCAATCCAACTTAAAGAATCATTTCCTGATCTTGAACCAGCAATAATTAACTTCTCGCAATTTGATGGAAACACCAAGGAGAGCTTAACAATCTCCATATGTTGCTATCCCTCGTGCACGGATTTTTTCTTAGGTATGATGCTAGGAAGCATGGATACTCCACTGGGGGTTGATATGGCAATGTCAAACACGTTCCCGCACGGATACGCATGGGACACGGTCGGACTCAAGTCTGACACTTCCACAAGTGTCCTGAACAGTGAAGAAACATATTTTATGAATGGATACGACTCAGATACGGGGGTGATGCGGCAAGGGTAGGGTCACAGTCATGGATCTCTGTTGAAACCAAAAAAAAAAGGGGAAAAGAAGATGATACAAACCTTAGATGACACAGCCACAGATCTTATCTTCGACCAAGTATGTCTTTATATCTCTCTTTCACCCCTCTTTCTCTCAAATCAGATCTCTTTGCATCGTTGGGCAATGATTTCTGTCTTCAAACTCTCTCTCTCTCTCTCAGAGCAAATCTACCCGTGTTGACAAGCGACAACTTACTCCGGCGGCTACGGCTTGCCCTAGTTGCTAAAAAGCAACGCCTTTTCTTTCTTTCTTTCTTTCTTTTTTTTTTCCTTTTTAGCCCTAGCTTTTCAGTTTTTTATTTTCTTTTTTTTCTTTGCCCTAGTTGTTGAATTACAAATAACACTTATTAGTTATCACCCACTACCCAGTTTAATTTAGTACACCATCCATAATATATTAGTCCACTAATCAAATTTCATATTAACTCATTTGTCTAATTATGAAATATTAGTTAATTATTCAATTTTATTATTAATATTATTTATATATATAAATATATTATATTATTCTAATTACTCGTATCCTTGCCATACTCGTGTCCTATATTTTGAGATTTTTTCGTATCTCCGTGTTTGTATCGTATCAGATACGACACCCGTGTCCGTATTCGTGCTTCTTAGGTGTGATGTCATTTATGCGTGGATGTACCGAGTGTACACTTTTCCCCCCTAAACGTTCATCTAAAAGTTTTAAGTTTGGCATGCACTGTACAAACTAATTAATTAAACAAAATGCACTGTCACAGTACAAAACGTGAAGCTTAGCATCCAGCATTGTACCAAACTGTTTTCTCCTGTAACTGTATCCTAAGGGTCCCTCCTTTTTCATTCGTTCATAAGGCCCAGCTAGCCTACAATGACGTCAATGTAGTAAAGAAAAATGGAAAGAAAGCTTGAAAATGTAATGAAAATCACTAAATGGATATATCCCAAGAACTGGCAACTAACATATTACCTTACAATCGCCAAAAGCAAAAATCTCTGCAATCATAATAACAGTAATAGAGAACAATGGATACATAATACTATTTTGGGTTCCCAACTTACATAGCAAGAACTCAATTATGGATCAAAATCTTTCACAAAGGAAAAAGCATGACTCACAGGAGTGGATCCTTCTAACGAAATCCTTGCCCTTGAGAATGACAAGTTTCCAGCCAAGAACGAACCGCCTCTTTGAAAAACCTTCTGCGGGTGATGAGCTTCAGCTGGCCATTTGTGAACAGAAGAATCTGTTGTTGCAACCCAAATACCATCATCATGCAGAGCTAATTGCAAGATAGGATGCTCCTCTGTACAAAGCAGTACACTCTCTCGTGTTGCCAAGTCTGTCAAGTATAACTGCAAGTGCGAACAAATAGGACTTCAAAAAGATGAGTGCAACAGAAACTACAAGCAAAATTCAGTGGAAGAAAATGGGAGGAAATCCGGTTGATTGAGTTGTAAGAGTGCACTCACTGAAAGGTCTCTTCCACCACTATACACATGACTAAATGTAGGGGTGCTGGCAAGTGCCCAAACAGAATCTGTATGCACAGCATAGGAATGTACACATCGCTGCTGACCAAGATCCCATAGTCTACCAAGGCAAAAGGACAAGAAATAGTAAACTAATGGAAGAAGGACGATAACAAAAAACTTCTTAACAGAATTCATGACAGCATCTTTTGACAATGTAGGACAAGTGTGAGCAAGCAATCGCCTATTTGCTCTGAAAATATAAAACATATAGGACAACATTTTGACTGGGCTGCCAATTGTTATCTTAAACCGAGTATTAGATCCAGGGAAGCGCATACATTTTTGGACAAGGAGGGCAACAAAAGTGGATTATCACTGAATAAGTAGTGGAAAAAGAATGAAAAGTTATGGGTTTTGCAGAAGATAAGGATTCGAGGATGATGTGGACGTGTCTGGTAACTAGGAGTAAGAATGATGTAGGAACTTCTGATAACTAGAAATTTCAGGGTTTAGGTTTGGTTTTAAGGAAAAGGCACGTGATATGGGTAAAGAAGGGCAACTGAAATAGGCTTTTGGACAAAAACCAACAATCAAAAGAAAGGCACGGATACAGTAAATGAGACAAAAACTTCCTCGCACAAGATCCATAAAGAAAGAACAGAAGCAGCACTTCAACGATTACACTCTCTCACTTACAGTTAGAATTGCATTACAAAAACCTAAAAAAGCAAAAGCTGATGGAGAATTTCTAATTCTTCATCTCTCAGAAAAAGTTGTATATAGATACTTCAAGGTACTCTAAAACAAGGAGTACTTCAACTCTAAAGACCCAATAACACAACCCCAAATACCCATGGACCAGCACTACAAAAGCATACCTGAAAATGAGAAAATATCAAAGTGAACATGCCTTCTCAGATGCGAAAACATGTATAAAACTGAACAAGAAATACAATGGTCTAAAAAGAAAGGATAAAGCCAAGAGTAACTCAAAGCTAATTACACAAGTTCCATGTTGGCCACACCTTGAAGCTAAACCATAACAGTCATTGCCCAGTACAAGTCCCATGAGTCAACGGCCTGGAAGGGCGACCAAGGTGCAGGCTTGACCTGGTTTTTCTCAGGACAGGCAGCTCGCAAACACAAACTGTATCTCCTTTTCAACAAATGGCGTGAAACTCAGGTTCTCATACTTCACATTTCAAGCTTTAACCACTGCACAAAGCATTGGCTCTTCCCTTAACATGAACCATTCCATAAATACTTATCTTCTTTAGCTTTTATATTTTTCTTTAAGCCTCCTATGTTAACATCATTAGAATGCATAACAGGCACATCACTCATTGACAGTGTTTATCTTGCTTCAAGCAAATTTAATAGAGGTTTTAAAGCCTAGGTACTGTTAATCACAGTAAAATTCAATTATGAAACCAGGGGAAATTATCCTGCTAATGAATTACTCTAGTCAAAACACAATTTAAAAAAAATTGCAGGCTACAGCATGAAGTGTCAATTTTGATTTTTTTTTTTTCAANGACAAGGAGGGCAACAAAAGTGGATTATCACTGAATAAGTAGTGGAAAAAGAATGAAAAGTTATGGGTTTTGCAGAAGATAAGGATTCGAGGATGATGTGGACGTGTCTGGTAACTAGGAGTAAGAATGATGTAGGAACTTCTGATAACTAGAAATTTCAGGGTTTAGGTTTGGTTTTAAGGAAAAGGCACGTGATATGGGTAAAGAAGGGCAACTGAAATAGGCTTTTGGACAAAAACCAACAATCAAAAGAAAGGCACGGATACAGTAAATGAGACAAAAACTTCCTCGCACAAGATCCATAAAGAAAGAACAGAAGCAGCACTTCAACGATTACACTCTCTCACTTACAGTTAGAATTGCATTACAAAAACCTAAAAAAGCAAAAGCTGATGGAGAATTTCTAATTCTTCATCTCTCAGAAAAAGTTGTATATAGATACTTCAAGGTACTCTAAAACAAGGAGTACTTCAACTCTAAAGACCCAATAACACAACCCCAAATACCCATGGACCAGCACTACAAAAGCATACCTGAAAATGAGAAAATATCAAAGTGAACATGCCTTCTCAGATGCGAAAACATGTATAAAACTGAACAAGAAATACAATGGTCTAAAAAGAAAGGATAAAGCCAAGAGTAACTCAAAGCTAATTACACAAGTTCCATGTTGGCCACACCTTGAAGCTAAACCATAACAGTCATTGCCCAGTACAAGTCCCATGAGTCAACGGCCTGGAAGGGCGACCAAGGTGCAGGCTTGACCTGGTTTTTCTCAGGACAGGCAGCTCGCAAACACAAACTGTATCTCCTTTTCAACAAATGGCGTGAAACTCAGGTTCTCATACTTCACATTTCAAGCTTTAACCACTGCACAAAGCATTGGCTCTTCCCTTAACATGAACCATTCCATAAATACTTATCTTCTTTAGCTTTTATATTTTTCTTTAAGCCTCCTATGTTAACATCATTAGAATGCATAACAGGCACATCACTCATTGACAGTGTTTATCTTGCTTCAAGCAAATTTAATAGAGGTTTTAAAGCCTAGGTACTGTTAATCACAGTAAAATTCAATTATGAAACCAGGGGAAATTATCCTGCTAATGAATTACTCTAGTCAAAACACAATTTAAAAAAAATTGCAGGCTACAGCATGAAGTGTCAATTTTGATTTTTTTTTTTTCAAACAAAGGAAAATAACCCTAGATTTCATCCTCAAGAGTGAGTGAGGCTATCAAATGTGCCCTCAGAATTTATCTGTCCAAAAAACAGTCTACAAAGATCATTGAGGATCCAAACAATGCTTGAAATGTCAGATACAATAAAAAAATCAAGTAATTTCAAATCTCCTCCAAGATTCAAATTATCTTATTTTCTCTCTTTAGCTTTGTTAGCTTTTATTATAGAATCCAGTAGTTGCAATTAGCTAGTACAAATTAGAGCCAAACTTTTATCAAATGAGAAAAGGCTTAAATAAGGATCAACAAACATGACAAAGATTCCTAAAACTGGTGCAAAAGAATGAGCTATCTTAACATCCCTTGATGGTGGGAAAAAAATAAAATTGAAAACAAAAAACAGGACAGGTCGGCCCCGCAAAGGCACAAACTAAGTTACAATTGATAGCAATTCAAGAACAACCTATTACCCACCTCTGGTCATAGACTGAAGAAACCTATAAGCTCAACTGCCAGAATATCAACCTGGGTATGGCGAATAAAGCCTGAGAACTCCCTTGGACTCTATACTTGATCACCGGTTGGATCATTGTTGGTTACATCACAATCTGTGAAATGGGAAGCTCGAAAGTATGTGACATGGTGGATAGGACTAAAAGCTCACAAGGGTTGTTCCATTCCCACAAATGCCCCCTTGACCAACACATGACATGGAAGAGATACTGCTTTCTGCACATGGAAAGCTCAATCAGCCTGACAAGGCTTCCTACATGGGACAATATGCCTTTCACTTCAACTCATTCACGTTGGCATGAAATAGCTATGCTATATCTTTCTAAATCCTTTTGCGCCACGTTAGACCCACTAGGAAATACAAGACTAAGCAAGTAGAGAACATAGTTCAAAGTATCCATTGATACCGATACGAGTCGGTCGAGTCGTATCTGACTCGGCACCTTCCAAGACAATACAATTAAACCATATATATAAACTCTAAGCTTCGCATGACTCAGCCGAATCGTCCAAGTTATATCCGAGTCGCCGAGTTATCATCCCTGAATCGATCGATATGGTTCCGTGACGTCGCGATATAATCTGAAGCTCTAATCATATTCAACATTTTATTTTAGGTCGTATCATCCAATACTGCGTCGTGACTAATGTGTCTTGAAGCTTTCTAAGTCGATGGCCGATATCGTGACCTTGAACTATGGTAGAGAATAACTCTAAATTGCCAAGAATCCCAATATTCTCCCCTACCAATTTTCTCTTCAAATCTATAGTTCACTGTAAGGCCAAAATCTTTTACAAACTACAGAACCCGCCTACCAAGTTGGCCATACTTTATGCCTCTCTCTCTCCCCCCGCTCCCTCACGTCTTCATCTCTCATCTCAATCTTCCAAGATTCATTGCCTCGATTCCCACAAAACCCTTCTACCACGGTCTATCCTAGTCCTTACCACCTCTGCACCCTAGAAAGGGTATTATTAATGAAGGTGAAATTACCTGAGTCCAAAAGCAGCAGTGTTTTTCTACAAAACAGAGGCTGGGGGATCAGGAAAACTACGGACTTTATGGTAACAACCAACTAACAAGGGGATTCGTACCTGAACTCCAAATCAAAGACCATACTTGATCATTCAAACTAGCATTTTAACCTCATAATCCAATAAGGAAACAGGTACCTATGAGGCCAACTCCTGCAAATATTTCATTCTTTCATTTGTACCGGGAGTTAAGATCATTGCTGGATCCAAGTACAGCGTTAAGGCTGTGGATGCATAACAGCACAGAAGTGATTACAATGCCTTAAGACCATGTTCAATGGTTGTTGAGACCAGCAGCGTTGGAAGTCATGGGGCAGTTTGGGAAGACTTGGAGTGCAGGTGTGACCTTGATAAAGATTTGGCAGTAGAAGAGGCAATTGCGTACTGATGGTAAACAATAGCATCAACTCATCAGGCAGCAGCAGTGGAGCTGTGAAAGGTTCACTCAATGTATCGGTAGCAATATATAGGCACTGGAAAAGCTTCGAGTAGAGCCTCTTCCAAACATACTATAAGCATCGGCCTCCCATTAAGATGATACTCCAAGTTAGGCTTATATTTTGTTGGGAAACATTACAGTTAGAATGTGATGTAATTAGGGTTAGGAAAAGAATAGAAGAATAAATAAAAAGAAAGAATAGACTAGGAGAAAGAGAGTAGTATGTGAGGATTATACAGCTACTCCCAATATATATATAACCACAAAGGACCAAATATTCCCTAAGGGTTACACATCTAAATAAAACATAACATAACACTCCCCATGAGTTGGTGCATAAATATCTCTCATGCCCGATTTGCAAATAGTATGATGAAAAAACTTGCTACTAAGTCCATTTGTGAAAACATCGACCACTGATTTTCTAATTTCTCAAACGACATGCAAATAAAACTCTTATTCAGCTCCTCTTTGATGAAGTGTCGGTCAATTTCAACATGTTTAGTTCTATCATGTTGAACCGGGTTGTCAGCAATGTTGATAGCTGACTTATTATCACACTACATTATCATAGCCCATCACCACAAATTTGAGTTCGCTTAAAAATATTTGGAGCTCCATAAGCTCACAAACTCCATAGGTCATTGCTTCGTATTCAGCCTTTGCACTAGACCTAGCTACCACTGCTTACTTTTTATTTCGCCATGTCACAATGTTTCCTCCCATCAAGACACAGTAGCCCAAAGTAGATCTTCTATCCACTAAACCTGCCCAGTCTACATCAGTAAATACTTTTAGTTTCAAGTGATTATTATTAGAGAACAAGATCCCTTTTCTTAGGACTCACTTGAGATACCTCAAAATACACTAAACAACTTCAAGATGATGGACTCGAGAATAATGCATGAATTGACTTAGAACCCCCATTACATAAGCAATATCTAGCCGAGTATGAGAAAGATATATCAATCTCCCCACTAATCTCAGATATCTCTTTTTATTCATAGCATCACCAACACTACTACCCAACCGATGGGTGACTTAGATGAATCTGTAGGTTCACATCTGAACATACCAGTTTCTCCAAGTAGGTCAAGAACATATCTTTTCTGGGAGATAAAAAAACCTTTGATCAAGTAACCTCAATCAAAAAAAATATCTCAATACACCCAAGTTTTTGATTTTAAACTCCTTAGTCAGCTAAGCTTTGGTGATTTCAATCACATCATTCCCGGTTATCACTATGTCATCTATCCATCCAACCACTTGCTATGATATTCAAAAATTCTTGCATTTTTTCTACTTCCAAATAACACAAAAAGTACCAATGATTGCACAATTCGAAAGGGCAACTCCCTTATTAAGCCTCCCATGGCGTTTCACATCTTCAACAAATAAGGGTATGGACCATATGGTAGCTGCAAGGAATAGCTCAACACAAATCCGCCAAATTAAACAACTTATACCACAAAAGACAAAGCAATAGGGCAATGTAAAAATAAATACCAAGTGTTTTCCTAATCAGCTGTACAAGTCACACGCCACTAAGGGGAGATACAAGTATGAGACTTCCTTTTCTAAAGCATATCATTCGTATTGATCTTACCATGTGAGTCCATGCAAAATCTTGCACTTTGATAGGCACTTTTGCTTTCCAAATCATCATAGCAAGGATAAAAAGAGGACAATAGGACTCATCCACCAAAGAATCATAGAAGGATTCAGTGGAAAACCCACTCGAAGACTCAAATACCCACCTCCTTTTGTCACAAGCCTCGGGTCAACAAATAGTCATTATGATGGCAAGAAATGAAATCAACTCTATGGTGTCTTTATCATCAAAATTCCTAGGAAAACCAAAGTCCCAAGAATAGAAATGATTATAAGACCAGAGCATGGGAAGCAATGGACCCACCATGAAAGCACAATAAATGATAAATACCTTGAAACAAATGGGACAAAGATGATTCCCCCACCAAAAACCTCCCAAAAATGAACTATTTCCCCATTAGCCACTTCAAACTTAAGATTTTTGAAAAAACACTGGCAATCCCTGGGATATGAACTTAGTCACTCAAACCTGTTCGTAACCACCCTGATATCATATTTTGGTTCCCACATACTAGATGGGATCTTATAGCAAAAGAAATATGTGCTTCCTTAACTGGAAATCTTTAGGAATATAACTATAAAAGATCTCAAACACAGCAACTCTTAACTATCTCTCTTACAAGCCCAGTTCCCAAGAACTAAAAGTTGTTCCAGCAAGGGTAAGGACCATAGCCATTTGATCCAGATTGGCAAAGACCATGGCCACTCCGCATTCCACAATTCAAGTTCTATAACTAGTCACACAGACATGAAGTTGAAATTTGCATAACGCAAGATCTAAATGTGCAATTGTTATGGTTAAAATGCCTGTGATGCCTACCTGATCATGGAATCAGAGGATCCTGATAAGCAGTACCTGTAATAATGAAGCCAGAAAAAAATACTAACTCATAACAGTCAAACACAGAATAAACAGAACAGCAAGCTCAATGATGGGAAATCAAAATAGACAGTTATAATAGCTACTATTTAGTCTAACGGCACTGAAATCCAACCAAAAAACCACAAAAATAATTCAGGCATCCAGCAATATACCAATAGGATATTAGGGAATTTCTTTCTCAAGAAAGATACTTGTCTTTTGTTGAAAAGAGATACAAAGTGAGAATTATATCAAAGGGTGTTCCAAAAAGAAGTAATTAGTTTTTTCACTGCATAATGTTAGTAAAACCGAAAATTAAGGTCAGCACAATTTCAAAACCCAAAAACACAAAAGCCACCCCTCTCTCTTTTTTTTTACATAAAAAGAATTTGAACAATCATACCCCTTTCAAATCCTCTTATCACAAGATTTCAAGGAAACCTACGAAGCATGGATACCAATATATATATGGATACAGATACAAAAAGATAAGTCCACACTAAAAAATTATATATCTGGGTTTCATGTCTGTGAAACAACCGAAATGTTTTTGATTTCCATGAAAAACCGAAATGAATTAATGATTAAATAACGAAATTCCGATATTTCTAAGTGTTTCGGACTGTTTTGACGCGGTTCGACATATTATCAGTCTTTCGGAATGTCCTAGAAACAAATTTTTGAAGTTTTTTCGTTGTTTCTAGCATGTTTCCGAAATGGTTCTAAAATGTTTATGTTTTCAAGCTAATTGAAAATATGCACCGAAATGAAATTTTGATCCTTGTCTTACAAAAAAAAAAAGTTTTTCTTAGCTTTTCATTGATTTTTTCATCTTTATAAATGAAGTTTTTGATCAGTCTTGGCATCGATACCAACATTATGAGATACACCAAACCTTGCCCGGTAGTCCATGCTTACTGAGCCTTTCCTTCGTTTCATTCATAGAGGATGTGACTAAATTCACCATTAAAATTTTCATTTATTCATTAACATACATTTCTAACACTACTTGAGTTGCGTGTTCCCTCTTTGTCTTTTCTTTCCCTCGTTATAAATCTCTCTTTTTCCCTTTCTTCTCTCTATTGTCCACCTTCTTTGAATTTCACTTATTCTTCTTTAACTAACCACCAAACAAGATGATCCCATATCTAAAAGCTCAATTTATTCAGAGTCATGGTACAAACAGGATCAATAAAGGTAAAACATAATTTCATAATCTAGTGAAAGCAAGTACAGGCTCTGTTTACATTAAATATTATTAGCAACTAGCATAGAATAGTAAGTTTAACCTAAAAATATGCCATATACCTTATCTTTCTTTGGCATAATCTAGACTTCCAAATTCTAGAGAATCGCTCCAAACTTCTGACAAAGGATTAGCCCATGCTCCATTTCCGAAGATATATCTTCAGCAAAGTACACCTTAGAATATCACCTTGAATATGCCTCATACATCCTTATCTAAAGCACACAGATAAGAACTCAACAAAGTCCTTGGTAATTGAAATCAAATTCTTTCCTCCCACTATTCTTTTACTAGCTATTAAACCATCATTCATGTTGAAATCACCTAAATATATGATTTTGATGCTCCTTTCATCCCCCACAAACCTCTACATAATCTCTCTAGGGACCAAACATATTCTTTTTCAGATGTATTTCTTTCTTTTCTCTGTATTTTACCTTGCAGCAAAGATCCCTACAACACAATTGATCAACAATCACTGTTGTTTCTTGTCTTAATCATCACTCAATTACTCTCAAAAAATTCACTATAAAATTCTCATAAGTTAAAGTACCACAATATTTGGTACAGTTCTTTCTTCTTCATGTCAAACAGAACATGAAAACAACGGAGATGATCAAACTAATTGTCAAAAAAACCCAAGAACTCATGCTTTGAACATAAATATACAACCAAGACTAAAAAAGTCTTCCAAACATGTGCACATGCACGTTCTTATTTACATTACACAATTCACAATATAAACAACTGACATAGCAAAAACAATGGCAATATCTCCACCGTCATATACTTGCTAAGTCATAAAATGTCTAAGCATTAGCTATGCTTATCCGAAGTTAAAATATCTAAACCCCACTAACAAAAAATTATCAGCTCAATAGAAAGGCTTTATATTGGGTCACATTTTTACCACAAAAGATAGAGAAGGAAAGTCAAGCTTGATGTTCATTCAAAGATTTTATGACATCATTGCAAAATAATCCAACAAACCTGCCAGTAGAATCCAGCAGCAACGCCCTAATATTATCTGTATGCCCTCTAAGCTTCATGGTCTTGGAACCAGTTCGAGGGTCCCAAACACGCACAACCTAAAAGGATCAGAACATTATGATGAAAATTCAATTCTTCTATGATAAGGAACAAAGGATCCCTAAATCATATAATGATTCAAAAAATATATACAAGCATACATTATTGCAAACCAACAACACATTCTTCAAGAGCTCCTCAATATAAGACAAACCAACCAACTGTAAATATAATAAGACTAACCTAACATACCTTCTCGGTTCCACCAGAAACAAGAAGGGTTCCCCCATCATTCATTGCTAATGCATAAACTGATTCCTTATGGCCTTTAGCAGCAACAGGCACATATCCTTGAGACTGAGGCGCGTGCAAAGAAATACAGTTGCTTGAGCTGATAGGACGTAGAGAAGTAATGGGTATTAAAGTTCCCGAACCATTAATCCCATTTGAACAATCATCTTCCATTGTGTCACTTGACTTAACGATGGGAGCAAGTGCAGCTTCAAAATCCCATATGAAAACTTCCCCACCAAGGCCACCCGAGGCAATAATATTGCTCTACAATGCATGATGCCATGAAAGGATCAGAAACTGACAGAAGTAAAATATAATTTTATGTCTCCATGCACAACTTGCACTATCATATTAAACATAACAATTGAATAGCACCATCTAAATCAAGAGAACTTTTCATCCATGCAGTCAAAAGGGTTCACAGATATTTTACTCATCTTAAAAGGGTTCACCGATATTTAGCAAGAGAATTACATTTTTTTCTGCTGCAGCAAGACAAGTAACATAGTCAGAGTGTTGCCGAAGAGTCCTGGTACACATTCCATCAGACAAAAAATTCCATGCCTGATGCGTCACAGCAGAAAAGAAATAAATCAATCAGAGTAAAAGTTAATGGATAGGTTGAAAAATCAAATGCAGCTCCTATTGTAGACCAACCTTGAGGGTGGTGTCAGAGGAGCAGGAGACAAGTGTATTACCTCCAGCAAGGACTGCGTCATTGACCTGCAGAACTCAATGCTCAATTTCATTCAATGCTAACATAGAGTCCATCAGAAAGTGGACCTTCGCAGTTTTCACGGATTGTTAGGTGTTCAGGTATCCACATTTAGCTCTAGTGCTACGGCCTAGGCAGCATGAATACGAATACAGAATATAGGAATGATTACGGATTCAACAATACAGCAAAACCTAAAAACATAGGATACAAATACGACCACAATACGTCTATTAAAAGGACATATTTTATATATTCAGCATTCTCTATGGATGTCATAATTATAATTTTCAATGGATTCTCTGATAACAATAGAAAAAGTAAGCAATTTCATTTTCACAAAAGTATAAACCGACTTACTATAGTACGTCCATGAAATAGATGTGACTAATTAAAGGAAAAGGAGCCAACATTTACCTAGTTAGTTTGCTTAGAAGTACTTGTTGTTGAGACATCTAGTGTAATTAACTCACTTTATCCTCTTTTGATTTGATAGTAGATAATACTTAAGAAACACTAATGTGTCATCAAAGTTATATGAATTTTTCTATGTGACGCATAATATTCTATATATTGCTCCGCTTATCCACTTATATATCTTAAGCATATTCATTTTAGATTGTATCCGTGATGTATCCAGATATTTTATTTATTATTGGATATGTGTAGTTTACTATGAAGCACGGATACTTTGTTGAGGTCGACTTATCCGTATTGGATACGATACTTGTCGGATACTCAAAGATACGTATCAAATACACCTCTTACGTATCCGATAATAATTAAATATTAGGATACTTCATAGATACTTTTATGTTCAAGCAATATATATAATTTTTTAGTTGAATTTTTAACATTTTCTTTCGAATTCACATATCATACAATACATTTACAAAAATTCATACTACTTCAAAGGCACATGAATATTTTTTAAATATTATCTATAATTACATGTCAACAGAGCATAAAATAAATTTATTACATTATAATCTTAGTAAAAGTTACTTCTAAATAAACCGACTCGGTAAATATTAATTTTGATTCATTTAATTAATCACTTTACTTTGTGAATATACCATAGTGATACGATATATATTTTCTTCAAACTAAAAAGAATTACTAATTTTCCTTATTGTGTTAAAAAATTATCAAAATATATAAGTATTATGCTAATTAAAAATAATAAAAATATTAAATATATTTTATTATAGCCGTACCAGTATCCTTTTTTAGATTTTGTCGTATCGCTGTATCCGTATCCATATCCGTGCTTCAAAGCTTATGAACAACTATTGAAGGTTAATAGGGCCTAAGAAGCATGGACATGGACACGGACACGGACACGTCGAGAAGACATTTCTCAAAAAAGTAGGACACAGATAAGTTGTGGAAAAGCTACAAAAAAAATATATTTTATATATAACATTATATAATTTATTGCAAATATAGTGATAATGATATACAGTTTATAAAAAAATCAGTATTTTATGATAAGAAAACTTAATGTTCTAGTCATCTGTGTGAATTTTTAGACTAAAACATCTTCATTATAGTCAATAATCATCATTTTTTTTTGTAGACAATGTGTACCTAATATATAATTTAAATAATTGTTCTCATTTTCTCAATTCTTTTTTTTTTAAATTTTATGCATATTTTATTTTTATTATTATATTTGAAGTACAACCTTACTATGTCTAATATTAGTAATTATATGTTCTCAAATTTTTAAACTTTGTTAATTACATTTTAAGAAATGTCTATTGTTTATTAGAAGACACGTTCTAAAGAAATGTCGGACACGTCACCAAAGAAGGGTCGAAATTAAAAATTTATCATTTAATTATGAACATGGATAAAAGAGTATCTGACACGTGTCTGAGAGTGTCCAAAGAGTATTGGTGTCCGACATAGATACCTCACACGAGTGTCCGTGCTTCATAGGTAGTTTATATCCGATATATATCCTGGAGTATTCAGCGAGCATGGGGATGCATAGATCTTAACGGAGTATCCCTGCTTCCTAGGTTATACCCCACAACTCCCTCCCAACCCAATGATAACAGGAAAAAGGCTAAGACCTCACCTCAGTTGATCCAGCCCACTGTAAAGAATTAAGTATTTTTATTACCAAAATCCCAACAGATTTCTATGGTCAGTAAACAGTCACCAAAAACTATAGGCAACAAAATTCGTATCAGAATTGGTAAGATAAACAGCCAGGTGTCAGCATGAATAATACCCAATCTACATGCGACTCAAATGTAGCAGAGCAGGTAGCAGCATCTTCAGCCAATGCCCATCTCTTTAATGTGCTATCACGGCTCCCAGTGAAGAGATAATCAAACCCATCAGAGACCGATGACTTCAATATAGCCAAACAGTTTACGCCTGCACAGTGCTGAATAGAGAAACATTCCAAAAGGGGGAAGCATTATTTTTTCCAGGACAGGTAAACTAACATGAAGATTTATTACTTGTCTAACAGCAATAGTGTCGTACAATGAAAACCAGTGAATAAATGACGAAAAAAAGTCCTTCATCTCCAGCAAAAAGAAAGGCACGACTAGATGGATCCAAGGATCAAGATTTTGCTTCATGTAGCTCGGAAACATTTGGGGAATATTTTGGAAATAGAATAGGAAAACAGAGAAAAAAATGGAATTTTGATTCCGAAGCATTGGACGAAACATTCCGAAACACATTAAAGCATTCCAAAACAAGAAAATTTTGATCAACGATCAAAATAGCATTCCAATGCATACTTTTTGCAAGCAAGGAAACATAAACATTTCAAAATGTTTATGTAACACAGAAAAAAATACAAATGTTCATTCCGAACCATTTGTCGAAGCATACTGAAACATGAAACATTTTGACACATTAAACCTTCGCTTTTTAATTACTGATTTGTTTTGGATTCCACCAAAACTAAAATGTGTTGGTTGTTTTGGTGAACTTGAAACAAAGTCTTGATCCTTGGATGGATGCAGTGGTAATGTGTGTATATCACTGATACTTAAAGGAGTAACAAGTTGCGGAGTTGTATGGCTTGAATTTAACTCGTTTTAAATAATTGATTCACTCAAAAACGTGGCACACAAAAGTTAGGAATAAAAATTCTAAACTGCTATTTGCTCGAACTTCTCCTCTTGTCATTCTACGATTCTATTGGGCACATAAAGAGAAATGGGAGTTATTTAATGTTACAATCAGTCTGTATGCGATGCTAAAAAATAAATAAACAACACCAACAAACCACGGCTTAATTTCCTCATGGCAAAGATGTCAAAGTATCAATATCTAAGCACGCTGTACAAATGTGGGCTTTTGTCCCAAAATTTTAAAATTTACACATAAAAGTAGCTGATAATATGCCAGAATTTAGCATTAGCACGTGGTTTAGGTCAATCTTTCATCCAATTCAACGAAAATGCATCTCTGATTTATGTACAGATCCTTATCAAGTTATGCTGCCCAATGTCAGTTAATTTGATAAGCATTTGCATATCTGCAATATTGGACTAGAGAAAATAAGAACATTGAGTCAAAGTTAGGTGAAATGTGTTCACATTACATAATACCGAGCAAAACATTCTGACCAACAAATTAGCATCCTAAGCAAAGGTGAGCAGCAAATTTTAGAAGTGTATTATAATTTATAAGAAATAATTGGTTGAGAATTTTAAAAAATTCCTCTGCTACCATCCAGTAAAACAACCTAAAATTTAGAGGATTGAACCCCATTTTAAATCATCAACACAGGAACTAACAATGAAATCAGAAAAAAAAAAAAAAGCAATACCTTCGTGTCATCAGCATCGTTTAACACATAAGTCAACCTCTTCTCCTTGCGAGGGCGACCTGAATTTGATGCATTCCCTGCACTACCCACACGGTGCATTGCAAAACCCTAAAGCCAATATAAAACGAATAACAAATGAACATGATGACCACTTTACTGTGATTGAGAGCCAACATCTACTACAATTCACAGCAAAATGAATTGCAACAAGGAAATAATTATTTTCCTCTTCAAAGATACAGTGAGGATGAATGCCAAAAAAATCACCACGAATGCTGCAGAATTTGGAAAGCCTCAACCACCCCCAATACCCAATGTTAGCCTTACATAAACAGGGTAAGGTTGGTTCAAAAAGGAAAAACTTAACAACCCCAACTTGCACACCATACCAGCTTAACACGTCAATAAATCACTAGTTATTAATCCAACTAAAATGATAAAACATAAACCCCAAATTCTTTATTTCAAATTTTGAAACTTTCTAAACCAGTTGATCCCCATGTATGTTGCACATGAACTATTTTAAACTATAGTTTTAGTTTTCTTATAATTAATCATTTACTAATAAGATTCAATACTCCAAAAATCATTAGCCAAGCAACATCTTTCTGCTAGGACCTAAAAAAAATTCTTAAGCATAACACTAAAGACAAGTTAAAAAATAGTAATTTACTATTAAATTTTTTGAAAATCTTTACATCCAAACTTTGTATAATATGATTTGATAATTGCTAGTTTCAACTTTCCATCTTTATAGACTAGGCGGTTAAAAAAAAAGATAAACAGTAATAAAATTAATAACACAATGTGAAGATAGAATTAGAAACTTGTATGCACCTGATAACCTATGAGATATATATTTTAGAGACCTAACAGGGGAGCTAGAAGTTGTGCTCTAATATGATCTTTAAGGAATATGAAGTTAACAAAGTAATTAAGGACAAAATTTGAGAAACAAAAGAAAGATCAAAGGAGATGTTAGGATTTAATTGACTTCATAATATTGATAAGGGATGTAATAGGAAATATTTATAGATCCAGTGGTAAAAAATAATAAGATAAGCAGTTCAAGAAAATTAATAACACAATGTAAAGATAGAATTAGAAACTTGTGTCCAACTAATAACCTATGAGAAATATATTTTAGAGACCTGATAGGGGAGTTAGAAGTTGTGTTCGAATATGATCTTTAAGGAATATGGAAGTTAACAATAATTAATGATAAAATTGAGAAAACAAAAGTAAGATGAAAGGACCTGTTAGGATTAAATTGAGTTCATAACATTGATTAGGGAGGAAATATGAAATCGAGAGTTTGTCAATTTGTTGACATTTACAAGTAATATAGATATAGCTTATTTTAACTATCTACCATTTACCAGAAGGGGGCCCTTAGCACAGTAATAAGGTTACTCCATTGTAATCTTGCCACCAAAGATTCAAGACACCAAAATAGCCCCTATGTATATCAGTGTTGTGAAAAATTCACCTAGGCGAGAAGCAAAGCGAAGCGTGGCGAGGGTGGCTCACCTTGAACAACCCAGGCAAAGCGAATATAACTAAAGCGATTGAAAAGCGAGCGCCTCTCGCTTAATTGAAAAACAAGAAAAGAGACGCCTTAGTAAAGTTTTTAAAGTTGTTTTATTTTTTCATTATAGACCATTGGATTGTTTGATTTTTATTATGGACCGTTGGGTTAAGGCAATTGAAACAAAATTGTGAGATGCCCATACACCCAATTGCCCCCTTATCCCAATATATTCAACACCCAAACTCTAATTTTGCTTAAATGTTAGAGGATTGCTGCTACTGCTCCTTCCTCGTTGCTCCCACAAGTTTGCCCTTCTTTTCTTCTTCCCAGTTCTATTTCCCTTCTTCTTCTTCTCCATTTCTCCTCTTCTTCTCTATTTCTCTTCTTTTAATTCTTTTTCTTCTTCTTCTTCTTCAACGGAAAGCTTTGCATGTGTTGCTTCTGTCTTCTTCTTCGACAAAAAACACCACACAGGTACCTACTTTTTCTTTATTTCTCTCCTCCTCTTCTTCTACCTTTTCAATCCTTTCTTTTCTTCTTATTCTTTGACAGAAAATACCGGTACCTTATTGCATCTCCTACTTATATTGTTGTTTCTATCTTCTTCTACAACAGAGATATATTCTCTTCTCTCCTCTCCTCCTCTCTTCTTCTGTTGATTCTTCTTCTGGTTTTGTTTCTTTGTTTCTGCTTCTTATTCTCTTCTTCTGGTTCTGCTTCTTGCTTCTCTTTTTCTGTTTCTGCTATTGCTACTGGTTCTGGTTCTAATTCTGTTTTTGCTTCTCTGCTTCTGTTTTTGCTTCTCTAATGTTGAGTTTACTTATTGCTGATTCTGCTTTTTCTATAATGCTGACCTGCTTTTTTCCTGCCTCTAATTTGATGCTGATTTTTCGTACTGCTTCTAATTTGATGCTGATTTTATCTGCTTAAAGCTGATTTTGCTGATTTTGTTGATCTCTACTTCTACTAATTTTCTGTAATGCTTAACGCTGATTTTTTGTATTGCTTTTGCTTTTGCTTTTTTTTTATACCGCTTATTTCTGCTGATTCTGTACTGCTTATTCTAATTTTCTGTAATACTGATTTTGTTGATAGTACTTAGTAGTGTGGATTTTCAGAACTTAAATGTTTAAGGTATGGTTGCCATTAAGATTTGAGATATTATTAGTGTTTATTTAAATTTAAATGTTTATAATTTTGCTTGCATTTAAATATTTAATATTTATAAAATTAGAACTTAGATATTTAGAAGCAATTATACTAAAATATTTACTTTTTTTTTAACTGTCCACTTCTTGCCTAGGCTTTAAGAGTCTCGGTCGCTTCGGATCACTTTACGCCTTAAATAACACTGATGTATATGAAGGTAAGACTGAATACATCTTACCCCTCCCCCACAAAGATAATGAAATAAGATTATTCTCTAAACTCTCATGTAGATTGCTGCCTGAACAATTGGCAAATAAAGTCTAACTGTAGTCTACGCAAGACATCATAAAACCTTAACAAAAATCAAGAATCAAAATTTTATTTCGGTGCATTATTTCAATCACTTTTTTTTTCTTTGGGGGAAGGAGAAGGGGAAGGGGAAGGGGAGAAGGACTTGAACCCTTGACATCAAGAAGACGAAGCTTTTACGAAATAAGGAAGTACCATTAGACCCAAGGCCTGTTAGTTAGATCACTTTGGGTCCGTTTGATTAACAAGAAAGGGATGATGGAAAATAAAAGTGATAGAAATTGAAGTGAAAGAAAAAAAAACTGAAAAAAATATTTTTTTCAGACATGTATTTGGTTAACATGAAAAACTTCTAAGAAAGTTTTAAAAAAACTCATTCTATTGTTTAAAAGAAACAAAAGTTAAAAAAAAAAATTTCTAATTGTCTAAATTATCCTTATATATATGAATTCTTGGAGCCCCTCTTTTTCATCTTCTCTTGTTTGAGTCCTAGGAGCTCATACTCTAGACGCAGACGATGCAAAGCTCGTACTAATAGCTAATACAAGAGGAATCACTCGAATTAAGCGCAGGATGAAGGTTGAAGAATGATTCTAGCTCAGCTGACATCAAGATTTCATTTCACATAAGGCTTAACTGGGTAGGCTTAAGGCTTACCTTCACAAGCTCTCACCCTATATACCTCGTAACCCGAAGACTAGTCGCTAGTACTGGCTAAGGGTGTGAGAGTTTGCAGCAATGGTCAATCAATAGGTCTGTCTTGACCTTCTTTTCCTTACTAAAGTTCCAGGTTGGACCAGATATTTGACCCTACAACTCGGTCTAAATAAGAAAAGAAATATGTATTATAATTAAAAATTTTAAAAAAAAAATTGGCTCCTAACCTAGTTTTGGGACAAGGATTGACCCACACCCAGATCTTTGGACCAAATTTTATGGTTAGCCTAACTCATACCAAGCTTTTTCAAAATTAATAACCATTTCAATATTTTAAAGAAAGTAAGGGTAAAATGAAAAGTTTTATTATTGATCATAATTTTTCTACTTTTTCTTGTGTTTTTTTTTAAGAAAACATAAGTTGGTTAATTGTAAAAGAAATAAGTATTGAAGAAATTAATTTTTTCCATCATTTTTCATTTCATGCAAACCAAACACATGAAAATTTTGAAAAATTTCTCTTTCTTGCATTTTCTACCATTATTCGTTGACAAACGGACCCTTTAGAAGTAGAACGAAAGTTGATAAAAAAATTAAGAATTTATTTCTAAAACATTTCGAAACATTGGTCAAAGTCGAAATAAATAGAAACATCTTAAAATACCTCAAAACATTCAAAAATAGTGGATGGAAACATATCCAAACAACTCGAAAAATTGAAAAAACACCTCTAAGGATTAGAATTTTGATACAATCATTGTTTTAGTCTCCTTGAAAACAGAAACGTTTTAACCATTTCGAAACAAAATTTTGATCTTTGACAAAAAAATTCACTTTCTTATTGTGTGAATTCCGTCAACTCTCATTAGTTAAATTCTTATCTATAAAAATACTATTAACTTGCAAGCTTGTCACACAAATAAAATTAACTTAATATTAAGACTCTCTCATCATTGAATCAAGTTTAAGCACTTTTGATAATTTTTGCATATACATTTGTTAATTGAGAGCAAATTGTTGTTTAGAATTTTGAAGATCTCAAGCCCTAACAACCAATAGCTCCTAAGGTCTTTCTTATTTTATTTGTCATGTTTAGCTACCTTCAAATATATCAAATGAGGTGAATGGAGATAAACTCCATTCAAAACCTTAAGAACTCCTACATAAGAAATATAGAAAAAAAGAGGATTTTATAAATAGAAAGCACAATAGAACATAATATGAACAATAAAACATTCTTGCCCTACTTCAAACAGGACTCCCCAATACATTAAAATGCTAGTTCTTTTTATTAACAATTCTCCATTTACATTGTCACCATAAAAAACATTAAATCAATGGTGATCTAGATGCAACCACAATTCCTATGCATTACTAAGGCACTTTCTTGTACTGCGACTCCGTAAAGCCAAGGTGAACATAATAAAAATCTTCTTCGAGTAGATCTAGTTTA